AACGGCTAAAAATGACCACTAATCGTGGGTTATAACTCATCAAAATGATAATTGAGCCCTCCGCAAAATTATTTGCTAGTGGGTTGAAATAACTAAAACTAGCCAATAATTGTGGGTTATATCTTATAAAATCGTGAATTTTTGACTCTGCGAAATTATTTGCCAACAGGCCGAAATGACTAAAATTGGTCAAAACACGGGTTACAGCTCATGAAATCGTAAAGTTTAGCCTCTATAAAATTATTTGGCAACAAGTCAAAATAACTAAAAAATCGTAAATTTTAGTCTTCATGAATTATCTTACAATGGGTCAAAGAGATAAAAATGGTCAAAAATCGTGAGTTATAGCTCACGAAATCATAAATTTTCGCATACTTAAAATTATTTGTCAAAATCGTTAGTTATTGTTCATCAAATCATGCATCCAAACAACTAAAAATGGCATGTTCATCAAATCACAGATTTTGGCCTCTGTAAAATTACTTATAATGGGTCAAAACAACTAAAAATTGCCAAAAAAACATGAGTTATATCCCACAAAATCGTGATTTTAGCCTTTGGGAAATTACTGGCCAATAATTCACAGAGACTAAAAACAGCCAAAAATAATGGGTTTTAGCTCATCGACTAATGTAATTCTGAATGCCGTGAAATTATTTGCTAATGGGACAAAATGGCCAAAACTGGCTAAAAATCGTGGTTTATAACTCACAAAATTGTGAACTTTGACATCCTTGAAATTATTTGCCAATTGGTCACAATAACTAAAATGGCCAAAAATCGTGAGGTGAAACTAATCAAATCATGAATTTTAGCCTCAATGAACTTATTTTACAATACGTCAAAACAACTGAAATTTGTAAAAAATCATTGGTTGTAACTCACAAGTTCATGAATTTTAGCATCAGCGAAATTATTTGTCAACGGGTCAAAACAACTAAAATGGCGAAAAAAATCGTGGGTTATATAGCTAATATAATCATGAATTTTGACCTCCACCAAATTATTTAACAAAAGGTTAAAATGACTAAAATAGCCAAAAATCATGAGGTTATGGCTCATGAAATTATGAATTTTAACTGTTGTGAAATTATTTGCCAATGGGTCAAAATGACTAAAATGACTGAAAATCATGAAGTATAGCTATAAAATCAGAAACTTTAGCCCCTGCAAAATTATTTGCCAATAGTTAGAAATGACTAAAAATTTCTAGAAAATAATGGGCTTTAGCTCAAGAAATCACGAATTTTTAGCTGCTGAATTTTTAGCTGCTGAATTTTTAGCTATTGTGAAATTATTTGCTACTGGGACAAAATGACTAAAAATGGCCAAAAAACATGCGTTGTCACTCATAAAATCATAAAATTTGGCATCCGTGAAATTATTTGACAACGCATACAAATAACTAAAATTTGTAAAAAAAATCTTAAGCTATAGCTCACGAAATCGTGAATTTTGACCCAAACGAAATTATTTGCCAACAAGTCAAAAACAACTAAAATTTTTAAATTGTAGGTCATAGGTCACGAAATTGTGAATTTTGACATTCGTGAAACTATTTAACAATAGATCAAAACAGCTAAAATGACTATAAAAATCGTGGGTCGTCAATCACAAAATCATATTTTTAACCTTCATGAAATTATTTGACAACAGATCAAAACAACTTAAATGTCTGAAAATCGTGAGTTGTAGTTACGAAATCGTGAACTTTGGATACTGTGAAATTATTTACTAATATGGCAAAACGACTAAAATGACCAAAAATTGTGGGATATAAGTTCATGAAATCATGAATATTGGCTTTAGTGAAACTATTTAACAATGGGTCAAAATGACTAAAAGTCAGAGAGAAAAATCATGGAATATAACTAAGCATATTATTTGACAATGTTCGAAAACTGCTAAAAATGTCCAATAATCATCGATTACAACTCATGAAAATAAAATTTTTATTTTTCATAAAATTATTTCCCAACGGGTTGAAATAACTACAAATGACCTATAATCTTAGGATATAGCTCATGAAATCGTGAATTTTGATCTTTGCGAAATTATTATCCAACAGGTGAAAATGACTAAAAATACCAAAAAATCATAGGTACTAGCTTATGAAGTTATGAATTTTGGTTTCTACGAAATTATTAGCAACAAGTTGACATAACTAAAAATGACCAAAAATTTTATAAGTTTTAGCTCATGAAATCGTGAATTTTTGGCATCCGTGAAATTATTTTACAATAGATCAAAATAACTAAAAATGACTAAAAATCGTAGCTTATAGCACTGAAATCATGAATTGTGATATTTTTAAAATTATTTACCAACGAATCTAAACAACCGTAAATGCCAAAAATCGTTAGTTGCTCATCAAATTATGAACTTTGGCATCCGTAAAATTATTTATCAGTAGGTCGAAACGACTAAAAATAGTAAAAAAAATCGTGGGCTATAATTAACATAATCGCGAATTTTAGCCTCAGCAAAATTATAATAATTTTGACAACGGGTGAAATTGAGTAAAAATGAAAAAAAAAATCATGGATTATAGATTATAAAATTGTGAATTTTAGCTTACGCAAAATTATTTCACAATGATCCAAAATGGCTAAAAATAATCAATAATTGTGGTTTATAGCTCATGGAGACGAAAATTTTACCCTTCACGAAATTAATTGCCAACGGGTCGAAACAATTAAAAATGACCAATAATCGTGGGTTATAACTCATGGAATCGTGAATTATGGTCTCTGCAAAATTATTTGCCAACAAGTCAAAACGACTAAAAATGGCCAAAATCATGTTATAGCTCATAAATTATGAATTTTAAGCTTTGTGAAATTATTTAGCAAAAGTCAAAATAACTAAAAATGAGTTTTAGCTTCTGTGAAATTATTTAGCAACAAGTTAAAACGACTAAAAATGGGCAAAAAATCATGAATTTTAGCTCATGGAATTATAAATTTTGGCCTCCACGAAATTATTTTATAACTGGTCAAAACTACTAAAAATAGCTGAAAATCGTGAATTATAGCTCATAAAATTGTAAACTTTGGTACGCTTAAAATTGTTCACCAACGAGTCTAAGCAGCTAAAAATGACCGAAAATCATTATTTATCGTTTATCAAGTAGTAAATTTTGACCTATGTAAAATTAGTTATCAATGGGTCAAAACGACTAAAATGGCCAAAAATAGTGGGCTACATCCCACAAAATTGTAAATTTTAACCTTTGAAAAAAATTCAACATTTCAAAATAACTAAAAATAGCTACAAAATAATGGGTTTTAGCTTAGGAAATCATAATTTTTTGGCTGCCGCAAAATTATTTGTCAATTTGACAAAATGACTAAAAATGATAAAAAATTATAGGTTATAGCTAACGAAATCATAAATTTTGACATCCTCAAATTATTTAACAAGCCGAAACAAGCGAAAAAAATCGTGAGTAATAACTCATCAAATCATGAATTTTGATGTCCATAAAATTATTTGTCAATAGGTCGAAACGACTAAAACTAACCAAAAATCGTGGGTTATATAGCTCACAAAAACGTGACCTGAGCAAAATTATTTAACAGGTCAAGAAGACTAAAAATTTAAAAAAAATATGATTATAACTCATGAAATTATGAATATTAACATCCACGAAATTATTTGACAATAATCCAAATGGCTTCAATGGCCAAAAATTATAGGTTATAGCTTACAAAAATGTGAATTTTGCCCTCTGTGAAACATTAACATGTCGAAACGATTAAAATTTGCTTTAAATGTGGATTATAGCTCATAAAACTGTAAATTTTGGCCTCTCTAAAGTTGTTTGTCAACAAGTCGAAACAACTTAAAATAGTCAAAAAATAATAGATTTAACTCATGAATTGTGAATTTTAACTTCCACGAAATTAGTTGATAATGGTTCGAAACAACTAAAATGGCCAATGATCTCGAGTAGTTCGTGAAATTGTGAATTTTGTCCTCTGCAAAAATATATTGACGACGGGTTGATAAGACTAAAAATGGCTTAAAATCGTGAGTTACATAGCTCATCAAATCGTGAACTTTAGCCTCTTCGAAATTATTTGTCAACATGTGGAAATAACTATAAATAGCCAAAAATCGTGATTATAGCTCATAAAATCATGAAATTTAATTTTCTACATAATTATTTACCAATAAGTCGAACAATTAAAAAAACTAAAACTCGTGTGTTATCTCACGAAATCGTGAATTTTGATCTTCGTAAAATTATCTCAAAATAGGTAGAAATGACTGATATTGTCAAAAATCATGGATAATAACTCATGAAATCGTAAATTTTGCTCTCCGTGAAATTATTTAACAACGGGTTAAAACAACTAAAAACAGCTCATCAAAGGGTCACCTGTGAAAACTCCCGCAAACCCATCAGTCTTCTCAATGAATTTATCCACGGGAGGAGCAGCTATTGATGCATCTTTTTCTTGCCTAAGCAATAAAGAAGATGGACAGATGTTCGTTCCAGTTCGGAGTCTTCAGCCAGTCTCCTTGGCAAGCAAGCTGATCACCTGAACAGAATATGCATATTAGGAATTCAGAATTGCATGACAATGGATGCGACAATCTTGAAAATAAAAAGGAAGAGCAAACTTACCGGCAATCATCTTGATATTCACACCAAGATTTGGAGCCTTGCAAATGGTTTCTGCACCGCACGCCTTGGGGGATCTAACAGTGGCAAGAGATCAACAAATTGCTTGTTCTTCTCAGGAACTCCCTTTAGGACAAGGTGAATAAGAGAAGAAAGAAATCAAGTCACAGCAGGAAACTATTTTCTGAGATATTGCAACAAACCCTGTCTTGCTACAGCCAATAATCAAACCCTACATTCAGCAAACTTCTCAATAACAAAGTGGACCCTGTTTTCAACATCTTACTTGCAGCTGCAAACAGTCACGATCTACTCAAGGGAAAACCAAATAGCATCAGTATAATTCAAAAGCAATCTAGATTTCAAAATCTTAAGGACCAACGAAATCAATGATATATATGGAGAATCCAAAAAGGCCTGAGTGTCATTCTGATTTATTAAATTCATGAATGCACATGAAAATAAAATACATGCTTTGTGCTTTTGTGCAGATAGCAAGGTCTGCGTAACAACTGAAATTTGACACATTGTTCTACAAATTATTTCGCAGGTGGATAAAAACCTGTAAATATGGCAAGAACTGATGTTACACAGACATCCCAACTCCTAGAAAAAAAATCATAATCACATACTATAAGAGATCGGATGTCATAGTTCTTTCTAAAGTTGAATCACCAAATTAGTCAACCTCCATCTCATGCCTGGTCTGGAATCTTGAGCGCATGTCTGCAAACCAAACATCAGCCATAAGCACACAACTGTAATACATACAAAACCTTCCTTTTTTAAGAGAATGTTGAATCTTACCAGCTTTTTTTGTGGGGCATAATCCTCAAGTGTTATGTTGATTAAACGATCCTGGATTTTCTTTTGACGATCAGTCATATTTCCATACAGAAAAATATATTTCTTTCATTGGAAGATTATTCTCTACATCAACTTTCCTATGCCATAGGAGGAACGGATGCAGAATTGCATGAAGCTTCGATAGCATCTGAAGACTTGGAACTCAACATGAGTGGTTCTAACTTATTAACTATTATACATAAATAACATGACAAATAATATTTGCACAAAGAAATACCTAAATACTTGACTTTTCTTCAGTATCTTTCTGCTGTGAGTCACTGTTGGTCCTCCCGAAAGAAATCAAACCTGAAAGAGGAGAGACTATCAACACCAAAAAGAACCACAAGTAACTAAAGCCAAGGAGAGATTCCAAAATTTGTCAAAATAATCATTTTTCCGCAATTCATATCAGTCATTTCACACCTTTAATTTGATAGAGGCAAGCATCATCAGGTGCAGCAGCTTCATAAGATCTTGTTAACATAGATGCAACTGCAGTCTTCGCTTTTCTCCAAGCAACCAACCACATGTAACTTATACTCATTAAGTGCAAGACAAAATGTACAACATAAATACATATATAGAAGAATATCTTTTCGAAAAGATTACAATTGGTGGTTATAAAAGTCGCACGGCAACAAGAGTTGATTAATATCGTCTGTGGCTGTTGCTGACAAGTTTCTATGTATCTGTTCCACGTCCCGATTTGAGTCACATTCAGCATGCAAATTTCTCGAAGATATGCATTATATATGCTAAAGGATCCTTTCTTAGAATTTTTGCAAGCAGAATGATCTCTTTGTCTTCTCAGCTAAATTTAACAATTAATTCATGCTTTATGTCCCCGCAAGCTTTTCAAAACCCTATATACTAAAAACCGTTCGCAAGCCCTAAATTCAAGATCATTTGGAAGCCCTAAATTCAAGATCACTTGGAAGCCCTAAATTCAAGATCATTTAGAAGCCCTAAAATTCTCCCGGAGTTATGTATGTACCTTTTTAAACCCTAAATTTCTCAAAACCCTAGGCTCTGAAAGCAAGTGGAGATTTTAAAGCTTGAGGCGAAAGAAAATACCTTTTTCGAGCGAGGAAGTTTGGGTTTCGCCCATTTGCGCTGTTCGGTCCTCTTTGAAATGGAGGAGGAGCGAGCAGTCACGGGCGTAGCTGAGTACGCGGTGTTAACTAAAATTACAAAAGATGGCCCATCAATTTAAAAAAAAAAAAGCTAAGTTAGATGGCCTTTATTTGATATAAAGCCCATTAACAAAACCGCTATGGGCCTAACGTTAACAACTTAGACGGCGTTTATCTGATAGAGAGCGCACAAAGAATGAGAATGTAGCCAGTTGTCAAAGAAAAACCAAAAAAATTTAACCCCCCAACCCTCTTTTTATAGTAATAATATAATATAGATTATTATTACTACTATTGCTATTTTGATGAGAGAATTTCCCCTTGATCTTTCGCGGATATAGGTATCAACCCGCCAAGAATGGCTAAATAACACCCTAAAACACACGGCCTCGAGTATTCCAAGAAATTAAATTCCCATTGGCACTTTCCACGAGAGTCAAGACCCTAACATACTACTCATATACAACTTACCAACTTAACTAGACCCTCTTAAGTCTTAAGTGACATCTCTAACAATCTTCGCACTCAAAGAAAAACAGTATCAAACCACACAGTGCTTCAGTACCACGTCCAAAAAAAACCAAATTAAGCACCAAATGATGTTTGTTTTCATCAAGCCTCTCAATTCTCTCGCCAATTCCCCATACAGCAACTGCAAGTTATTTTATCAGGGGAAAAACTGTACATGCACGCCTCCAAGTGCGTAGTTCATTCTCTCAAATTTAATCATCACATAAGGTCTAACATCTTGTGTTCCAGTATAGACAATATCTCCTCATCAAGCTTATGTAGTAAATGTTGGCAGCACAAAATTTCAGCAGCAAACCAGGGACTTATAACAAAATAAGGGGAAAGGAATGAGCAAGGCCATCAAGAACTTGTTACCAGTTAGCAATAATTAGTTGGCAGTACTGCTTGGTTAATATGTTTTAATAACCCAATATGCTTGACGGTAAGCTCCGTGGGTGAAATTTGTATAATAGTTAAGAGGGAGGGAGGGAGGGAGGGATCTATACTGGACTTTCTAGTGTATTCTTGAGAATGCCTTGTGACAAGTTGCTTGATGGTTTTGAGCAAAGCTTAGCGGAGCTTGTACTGGATTCATGAGAACGGGTAGACTGTTGTTCAGCAGTTTTCTTGGAAGTTTGAAGCTTTCTGAGACGGACGAAAGGCCTCCTCAATATTTGCCATCTATTATTAGGTTTTATTTGACCCAACAATTTGAGCTGCTCCCTATGAAATTTTCTCTTGGTAAACCACGCTCCCCCTCGCCAACCTAGACCATACCTGCATTCAACAAAGACACACATAAACATAAGACCATCCACTTTAAGAGTCTCGATCAATATAATGCTAGTGTGGTCTTGGTCTTCAAAAGAAATAGGATTTAGTTATTCAAGGAAAAGACTGTATACACTTTTTGAGTGAAAGTTGGAATAAAATTGTGGATCTATGATAATGGTAACCAATCTGAATTGTGGTTGCCATTTAAAAGAGCACGGAGCTCAGACAACATATTTACGTTTCTTCTTCCTCGTGCGTCAAAAATGAAAAGGCAAGGAACCGAAGAAGAGCAGTAATATCGCTTCAAAGGTTGAGTCCGGTCCAGTATGAAGCAAGCAGCAAAAACATTGCTAGCATTGATCAAGGAAAGGACCCCTTCAGAGATCGACCACACATCATCTACTCTATGGGAATTGGACGCGATTCAAAGATAACGAGCTTTTTACTTTAATTTGCAACAGAGTATGGTTCTGACTTCTGATACTCATAAGAGATAATTGCAAAGCAAAGCAAGAAAGATGCCTGCCAAAGCTAAAGTTGTGCATACGCTCAGCAAGACATGGTAATATATCAAACATTACTAAATTACTCATTGATGTTCCATAATTGAATGGAATGGAAGAATAGGATACATGTAGCCAACCCCAAAACATTTGGGTTAAAAGGCTTTGATGATGATGTTGTTGTTGTTTAGTTTATTTATTAATTTTTTACACACTATAATGCCTATTCTTCATATTAGGTTGCAAGATGTCTTTGAAAACTGCAGAAAATTAAAAAAAAAATACAATAGTGAGAAACAAACCCTAGAACCAAAGAAGTCCCGGCAGTAGCAATGCAGGCTGCAGTACTGACATTTCCAGAACTAACAATCTTTCTTATTTCTTCGTGTTCCACACTGTAATTCTTCTTCATCTACACACCATTTAAATAAAATTTAGCTGAGATCATGTAAACAGCATATAGAAAAGCATTTAAACAGGACATGATACAAACAATCAAATTACAAATAGATATGATATCAGGATAGCAAAACTACATGACAAATGAGGTTCCTGTTACTGACGAATCAAATTCAAATCCTTGTGATTGCTACTCTTATCATGAGAATTTACATAAATATATTCATTCCTTCAACGGAATATGATACACGCAATGAGTTCTTGAATCACTCGATATATACTATTTTTTCAAAGTCTCCAAATGGCAGAAATAATCAGAATAACGTTCATTGAAAGCAACATTGGATATATTTTTTTCTCATATTAGTGTAAGATACTTCCTAATCTCAATGACAGATTTACAACCAGGTTGCTAAGTTGAAATCTAAAATAAATAGGCACTTAATGATGTAGGATAGTTTAAATAAATTTATAATTGACTTTATAGGTGTTATCAATGTGCGAGGCACAATACAGGGCGCAAATTCCGCACACGCATGAGTGAAGCAAGGCGCACACTGGATATAATTTTTCAAGATAGATAATCAAGGACAAAAAAACAAGTTTATAAATGTTCAAATAAAAATATGTCAAAATAAATAATATCTACTACCAAATCACAAAATAAGGTCTTAATTCATAATGCTAACACACCCAACATAGTAGCGAAATTCATTATTTTCGAAATCAAAAGTCAAATCAAGATTAATATCGAAGCAAAATCAAATACTAAACAAGAACGAATTATGTTCCTCGATCAGGCTACTTAAAAGGCCTTTTTTTTGGAATATGGGCTATCGGGTATAAAGACCCAATTCAAATATTAAAGAACAAAAATATATAAGGTTATGCCTTGCATCTGCATTGTGCGAAGAACCCTCACAAAAGGCACTTGCAAGGCGCAAAAAAGGCACTGTTGCATCATATGGGGTGCTTTGCCACCACCTTGCATCGCAGAGGACATGTGGCGCACGCCTTTGATAACTGTTTATACTGAAGCTCTAGTGGGAGTACAAATAATATAACATGGATTTTGGAGTTTACTTTATTATGCTTAGTAACAGTTTAATAAATTCTAGTTCTTTTCTAGTTTTTATTATAAAAAATTGGAATGTTCAAAAATGAACCTCATGACAAGCATGTGGCAATAAAATCTCTTAGGGTAAAACTGATCATTTACCTCAGGAGAGATAACTTAGAGATGAGCCTTTCACACTGGGGCTTACATGAGCATCTTCTTGATCAGTATTTCCTACTTCTGCCTTTATGTCTGTGTTTGATGGGAGTATATGGAGTTTTTCTAGTGGAAATAGGTTTTACCTCTTTTAAGATGGGTGAAGAAGAACATTGGCTTTAGTGTGTTGCTTCTAATTCATTATCTTCTTCACTCAAGAAATGAAAAATTTAAGTTGTTCGGTTGTTAATTTGGCGAAAAAAAGAAATTTATAAAGATTTTTCATATGTTTATTTGATTGTGTTCACTGCAGGTAGCATAGCAAGAGATTTTAATGCCACATGCCTGCCATGAGGTTCATTTTGAAATATTCCAATTCTAACCTTGCTACAATAGTGTTTTGGGTTAAAAATCAACATGGGCTTCCCTTTACTGAAGCCGGAGGGCCAAATAGAATAGAAGTTAATAGTTCAGGGGCTTAATAGATTGAAAAGATAGTTTAGGGGCTTCATAGAAAAGTAGCATATAGTTTAGGGACTCGTGAGACTTTGAGCTCTAAAAGAGCTTCTGATTTGAGTTGGAGTTCTGATCTTTTCTGTATATATGAAGAAATGAAAGTCTTGGGACATTAGCTAAAAATTCAGCAGCTAAACATCTACTCATCTATCTAAGCAATGAGCTCATAATAAGAAATTGAAAAAGAAAAACTAAGTGACCTACAAACTCAGTGGATAAACACCTACTCAATTACCTAAGCAATGAAGCCATAGGGGTTAAACTTGAATGTTTAACCGAAGTAATAAAGGATATTGTCAACTAGAAGGAAGCAAACTTGCAAATGAAAAAAAAAAGATCCAAATACTTACTGCTTCTTCAATTGACCCGAGCCTTTTGTCAATATTGGCTTGATGCATTTGACGTAGGGAGTAACCTGAAGCATTATATTGCAAAAATCTCATACGGTTGGAACATTTACAATAAATAGCTAGATGCATAATCTCAACCCATTATAATAGAATCGAGATAAGTAAGAAAACGTGCAACTGATTCTACAAGAAAAGTAGTAACCGAAAGCAACAAATCACGTAATCCAGTAAAAATAAGTATGAGCTCTAATACATGCATGGATAGTTCCTAGAAGGCAATGAATACACAAGGAGCTTCTCATGAAAACGAGTATAGAAAGGATAGAAAGGTGAAAACAAATTCATCAAGTAGTAGGTACACAAAGATTATTCTTTTCTATGTACCTAATGTGCAAGGTGTTTATTAAGATAAAAGTTTGTTGATGCCAAAACCAAGAAGAATCCAGTGATTAGACAGAATCACCAATATTCCAAATTTAGATGACTGTGTCTTGGACAATATGACATTTAACTTACTCGAGCATGTGTACATTTACAACTGTTGTGTAAGCTTATTAACTCAGACTTAAAACAGAAGAAAAACTAATAAATAGGAGAAGCATGCTAATAAAATGAAGTGAAACACAATGGTGATAAAAAATAGTGAGGATGACATTGACGAGACCGATAATCCATAATTAGAATTACACTTTAAACCTATATCGAATAAGTGGAGAAGGTGAGAAGGGCAGACATACTAAGTGAACAAGACTAAAGAGTACGATTTGTGTGCTTTTAACAAAAAGACTAATCACCCATGTTCTTAAGATTAAATCACCACGAGAGTTTATTTTCTACTGATAATTAAAATACAAGGCACACATAAGGTGAAGAGATAAACCTGCCCATGCAGTTAGAATGGACGCAATCGATGTTCCGACCGTAAATACCACTCGATGGTTCTCAAAGATTTCCTAGAATTCGAAACATAAAACCACCAAAAGCAACAATAAATTGGCAAATGTTTGAAATTTATTACAATCACAACAACAAACAGTATCTCCCCCATCTATTTCTCCATATTTAATACAATACCCTTTAGGGGATCGATCGCAATTGTGTGACACGTTATTCCAGTTTTTGCTATTTCCTATATTCGTGTCCTTTTAATCTATCTCATGGTCTAACTCATTTAAGAAAAGGTCACAATTTGGCTTGGGAAAAATATGATCATCATAAACCCAACAAAATTTAAGCCTGTATAGCAATCCAAAAATGATGCCCAAATGAGGGAACTGAAACCTAGATGACTATCCAAGCAGATTAATACTCAAAATTATGAAAACCCATTTAAGGGGAAGTGGCATTGGATCGAACCTTGGTGGAGAAATAGGTATCTTGGACTGCAGACCACGAGTTCGAAGCTTTCCTCTTGACGTTTGCGAGCGCGATCGCGCGAGATATTGGAGACCCGTCGCCATTAAGGAGTCTATTTCTGAGGCCAAGGATAGCTCGCCCTCTTGTAATCATCTCGATGAGATCGAGATTGAAGAAGAGACCCTTGCTCCTCCTCCTCCTCCCTCTATTCTCTTTTCTTTTCTCAGTCCAGTTTCTAGACTCGTCGCTAGCTGGTTTGGGCTCAGTGAACAGATCTTTATACGGAGCGAGGCCCTGCTAATGACCAAAGTGGCCTTAATAGTAGTTAAGGGCTTTGGCCCATCGTACTTCTAGGGCTCGGAAGGGAGAAATTGCTTTCTAGATAAATATTTTACTAATCTGCACATTCCAACTTTTATACGGCGGTAGTTTAAGGGGGTGTTTGTTTCAAATCCTATAATTTTAGGATATGGATTTCATCATGTGATTTAAAATTCATAGGTAATTTGTTATGGTTTAGGATTCCTAAAACTTTGTTTATCATATCATATCATACTCCCTTTAAAAGCACGAGTTCGGAAAATCTTTTTTAGACAAATATACTCATTTATAGTTTGAACTACCTTATCTATAATCAAATTCTAATTTTTAATGGTCAATATTACCCTTCACTATTTTGAATATTTTATTTATATCTTAATATATCCTAATCATAATCATATCTTATCCTAATCCTATGTGAACCATGTTTAGCTTAACAATTTAAAAAAACTAATATTAATAAAATATATAAAACATAAAAATGATATTAGTTTGTTAAGATAAAAAAATTACAAGTAGATAACATATTATAATACATGAAGTATTGCAAAAAAAACATAAAAAGTTTTAAAATTCTAGATAACATATTATAATACATGAAGTATTGCAAAAAAAACATAAAAAGTTTTAAAATTGCAGAAAAGATCCTCAAAAGTTCAAAATTATAAAACTCATCCAAATGTCTCAAAACTTAAAATAAAAAACATGAAATTAAAAAATTAACATCAGTTTGCAAAGAATTTAAAATTTACAGTTAACACCTCAATGTCTCAAAAATTATAGAAACACCCTCAAAAGTTTAAATTACAGATAAGCACATTAAAATTCTAAAATTTTAAAACTTACAAACAACACAGATGAATTCAAGAGATTACCATGATACACCTAAAAATTTTGACATTTAAATTTAAATTTTTTAATTAACACCCTCAATATCTCAAAAATTATAGAAACACCTTCAAAAGTTCAAATTATAAAAAGCCACCCTAAAAACCTAAAATTTGTAAATAAAATAAGATCAATTCAAGATATTACCCTTAGACACCTAAAAAATTAAAATTTGCCAAAATTAACCTCAAAATTTTTAAAAAACTCCTTCAAAATTTAAAAATCGTAAAAAAAAACTCTAAATTTTTAAATTTTTAACTAGCACACATCAAATTCGTCGATTGGTAGACCGCTAAAATTTAATATTTTTCAAAATTAATCTATAGTTTTAATAATTGCAAAAGACACCCTCAAAATTTTAGAGTTACAAGAAATATACTAACATTTAAAAAATTACCACCAACACATGAAACATAGAATTTACAACTACCAAACTTAAAAGTAAATTTTTTTAAAAACTCTTTCAAAATTTTAAAAATTATAAATCACACCCTCAAAGTTCAAAACCACAAAAATGGGCTAAAATTTTAAAACTTGGCAAAGAAAAGTGTAATTGTTTGGTATTTTTCATATATATATATATTAAAATTTCTAATTTAGGGATTTACTATCCATTTTCAGCATCTAAGAATAGTCTAAGTTGATACTGGTAAACAAAAACAATAAGAATTGATTAAAAACATCCGGTTAATGGATAAAATTTTTAAAAATATTATAGATTAAAAATTATCGACACTATATAAATTAAAGTAATTTCATATAATTTTAGTAATAAGTTGGGGTAGCCAAAATACATTCGTAACATTAATTGATAGATGTTTAAATCCATAGAAATGATAAAACACTATAATATTATACCTTAGCATTAATTGATTTTAATTTAGAAACTTTAATCTTTGACGTTAATAATATTTATAGGGTAAAAGAATACAAGGAATTACATATGGAGAAACTATTAGAATATTTAGAGATAACTTTAAAAGAATTGAGTTATTTCCATTGCAAATGGGAAAGTGATGGAAATAAATCTAAAATTCAGAAAACGTCAATGAATCACTTGAATTGGCATTAACATAAGACATATCTATTAATGAAGCACTGAATGAGTTACATTAAAAAATAATTTAATAACTTTATCCTAATCAAAGAAAAAATCTCCATGGAAGACATAAGAAAAATTAGTAAGTATTCATAAATTCCATACTGTGTTCTTCAAATTAAATATTAATATTATAATCTAAGAGAAATTAGTAATGAATAATGCAGGTATTTATTTTAGATCTTTATGAAAAATGATAAGGATAGAGCAAAGGTAATATTATTGAAATAACAGAAATTCTTATTGGATGCACATCAGAAGAATTCATTTTAGAGGAAAATAAAGAGATAGCTTCTAATTTATTTAAGTAATAAATTAGGAACACAAAGAATTTTATATATATGAAATTAATATTTATTCTCATTGAAATAGAAAAAAATCAAAGTCTATATTTTGAGCAGTTTGTGTTGAACATCATAAGTACATTTGACTTCTTTGTAAAGTTAAATGAGATGATAAAAAATTAACGAGCCCAGGAAAGATAATAGCATAAAAAATACAAAATTAGTCTGATGTCATAATTGATGTAGATGATGAAGACAATACTTTAGAATTGTCCGAGAAATGATAAATGATAAACCTGGAGAATGATTGATCTTAACTCAATAAAAATAAAATAGAAGAAATAAAAACAATATTTTATGAATATTTTATAGAATAGTTTTATTTTGAGTGAAATTAGGAATCTTTAGAAGGGAGTTTCATGAATTTTTTCAGTACTTTTATATTCTTATGTGGATGTTTTTATCATATAAAAGTATACTAGAGTTAGCATTAATCTTTAATTTATATTTTTTTATAAAGTCTATCAATGATTATGAATAAACTTCATAATCTCTTTTGCATCGTTTTAACATACTTTAAATCAATCATTTTGCCATATTGGTTTTAAATATTCACCTTTCTTGTATAACACTATTTTAATATTTTTCACTTTGCAATGCTATACTTTCTCAAATAAAGCTTAGTTTCATATCGATCAAAAATAATATAAAAATTCAAATTATTTTTATATTATATTTGTTTTTTGTCAATTCAAATATCAACATGAAAATTTAAATTGGGTGTATCCCATTTAAACAAACATAAAAAAATAATCGGGATGTAAGAGTTTAAAAAAAAAGTGAGCACAAACTGCCAAAAATACTTAATCATGGTATTAAATCACGTGCATTGCACGTGTGTAAAAACTAGTTTCAATAATATTTTGGGATTTGGAATATTATAATTTGTAATATTTTTGTTTGTTTCAAACTTTTTGGAATTTGAAATTCATAACTTGTATAAAGCTTTTGAAATCCACCCCACATCCCACATAAAAAATAGGATTTTACAATTCCTTAAATTTTTTTTTGGGATATAATATCCTAAAACTTATTTTAAAACAAACAAGTTTTATGGAATTCTAAAACCCCAAAAAACCTCTTTTTACATCCCAAAACTTGAAATTCACACCATATCCCAAAAAAAACACCCCCTAATACTCTCGGGGATTTGATCATTTTGTTCTTTATAATAATATATATTTATTTAGATAAGTGGACAACTATTGTCCGCCCTTTGAAGAAGATTTTCTGAATCCGCCACTGATTAGGCCTCACATCCTCCCCAAAACCCTCAATGCGAGCTCAACCCCACCCAACGAAACACAACCCGCAATAATTGAGTCCCAACTCCTAACTCCAACCTCAACACCCAAACTTGCCATCAAATTAAACATCTCCGATCCCTTTTCCAGATACCAACTTCTCACAATCCCCGAAATTATCGGGTTCCAAGGCGCACCAGTCCGTTCATGCATTCTAGCAGACCATGTCAAAGAGCTGGTTCAGGGGGTTATTGAGGGGGAGAGTAGGGTTCTTGCTGTATCGGTGACGATGTAGGATATCTTTAAGGGAACCAAGGAGTTCAAAAAGGAGGCCTTTGGCAATGTATTTGTTAAAAGTTTTTTTTATATGAAATTAATAGAAATCCCTTTATTAATACCTTGTTTTTTCAAGAAATCCTCTTAGATATATTTTGTTATGTTAGGTTTTATGCACATGCAATGATCGTGGTTAAATATCATGATTAAATATTTTAAATTTATTTCCTTACTAAAATTTGTTCCTCGGTTCTACTTTGATCATTTTTGCTCACTTATGCATTTAAATTTTAGCATTGTGATTATTTATTTTCTTTGATGTTTGTTTGAATAGGCCGCACCAAATTTAAAATTTTATGTTGATAATTAAATTGTCAGGAAACAAATGTAATCTAAAGCCAATTTGAATTTTTACGTGTTTTGGACCGACATGAAACCAAACTTGAAAGTATAATGTTATAAAAGTGAAAAACACTTTTAAAAAAATAGTGTTATAAAAGAAAGATGAATAATTAAACCTAAAAAACCGAGATGATTAATTAAAAGTGGGCTAAAATGAAACTAAAGAGAATATGGAATGAAACTAAAGAGAATATGAAGTTTGTTGCTAATTAATTGATAGACTTCAGAAAAAATCATTGACTAATGAAACTAAAGAGAATATGAAGTTTGTTGCTAATTAATTGATAGACTTCAGAAAAAATCATTGACTAAAGATTAATGCTAAATTGATAGACTTCAGAAAAAATCATTGACTAAAGATTAATGCTAACTCTAGTATATTTTATATGATAAATCCATCCACATAACCGTATAAAAAAATTTAAAAGAGTTCATGAAAATCCTTTCTAAAGATTCCCGGGTTTACTCAAAAAATTAAGTTATTCTATAAAATATTTGGAAAATAAATCTTTTATTCTTTCTGTTTTATTTTTTATTTTTTGAGTTAAGATCAATCATTCTCCACATTTATCTTTTCCCTGAGCAATTCTAAAGTTGTGTCTTCATCATCTATATTGATTGTGACATCAGAATGGAGTTGGATTTCTTGTGTAATTATTTTTTCCCGAGCTTGTTCGTGTTTTGTCTTCTCGTCTTACTTCACAAAGAAGTTGAATGCATTTTTGATGTTCAACAAAAAAAAACTAGAAATACAGACTTTGATTATTTTTGTGTTTCAATAAGACTAAATGTTAATTTTATATATATGACTTTTTTGTGTTTCTAATTTATTTAAAAAAACTTAGGAGTTATCTATTTTTTTCTCTGCAATGAATCCTTCTAGTGTGCATCCAGTAAGAGTTTCTATCGCGTTAAGTAATGTTACTTTTACTCTATTTGTGTTATTTTCCACAATGATATGAACAAAATAACTATAATTTTCATTATCAAATTGGCTTAGATTACAATGTTACTATTTAATCTTGATATGTTTATTTCATGAAGAAGGGATATTACTCAATATTGGTACTACTTTATTAGTAATTCTGTGATATTTATCATTTGGATATTTTTATTAACATCTATTTCCAATCTTCTTGTTGTAGCCTTTGCAAGCTAGAACTACGGCTCAACTTTATCATAAATAGTAGTTATCTTTATTTACATTATAGGTCCAATAGCGTGTCCGTATATTGGTAGAGTATTTTTAAGTTTAATTGTGTAAATTTTAGAGTAGGTCTTATAAGATCATACCTCTTTGATATTGTGATTATTGCATATATCAATAGTTTAAATTTGTATTGTATTTGTAAAGAGCATTGATGGATATGATTTTATATTAGCAGCTTGTTCTGAATAAGCCATGTATATTATCTTTAAAGTATAATATTTTTTCTTTATTGTGTTATATATATGTTTGGTTTACTTACCATTCTTTTATTTCTTCAATAAGTTGTATCTTTGTGTTGGTATATATCGTTAACACAATTTATGATAACATGCATATTTTCCCTATATAATGCGAATTTTATATTTAGTGACCTTTAATAAAAATTTTAGTAGTAAAATATGTTACCTTCATAATTAAAGATCTTGAGATCTAACAGTGCTATTATGTGTTTATCCTTGATTGTGTCTTTAAAAACTAATCCTTTACTAGTAGTCATATCCCCAAATAAATTTACTTGCAGGGTCCTACCACATATAGGAAAAAAGAAAATATCAATTTAAATTTTTTTACTTACGCTATTGTAACTAATTATCATGTATATACTTTTTGTCTATTATGGTGATTTCTCTCATCTTATCTGGCTTATTATATCTCACAACATAGTTGATCAATGACTTCATTTTAGTTTCTATTGTAAGATTATTTATATGTAATTTTATATTAAGTTTATGATTCATTAGTATTTTCAAGAATAAAGTATGAAAATTCATAAATACAAACTAAATTTTCATGTATCTTTCACGATGAATGCTTTTTTAATTGGGATAAAATTGTTCAATATGTTCTTCAAGGGGGAACTCATCGGTGCTCTTTGCTAGATATACATTTTGTCAATGTCAGTACAAGTGATTCATAAATTTTTTCGTATTTTGGGTTTACTTACTTCACTTCTCTATTTGAAATAAAAACAATTTTTTTTAAAAAATGATATCTTTGAACTTTCTGATAGTTTTTATGTAAAATTCTTTATATTTTTTTACTCTATAAATATTATTAACATCAGAGATGAATGTTTATATTATATTCAATTAATGCTAATTTATTATATTATACTCTTTTATTAGTTTTATGCAATTTAGTCTTCCATTTTTTCAAAATCTAATCCAACGGTCAGAATTAATAATATCTAGAAGCGAGCCCACGAAGGAAAAAATTAGCGCCCCATTTTTTCAAAAATCCCCATACGCCATTAAACCGCCATTTCTCTCTCTCTCTCTCTCTAGGGTTTTAGACAATGGATCTTGTCTCGTCGCCGGGATTTTGCTCGAAGGAGCAGCAAAAGATCTACGCCGAGTGGTTCTCCGTCGCCGATTCTGGTAAAAATTTCCCCTTTATCCTTTCCCCCAATTTAACTAGGGTTCTTGATTTTGACGAAAAGAAAGAAAATTTAACGATTTTGTTTTGTTTTGATCTTGTTTTAGATGGCGATGGGCGTGTCACGGGGAACGATGCGCTCAAGTTCTTCGCTTTGTCCAATCTTGCTCGCTCTGAACTCAAACTGGTAATACACTATTCGATTTTTTTTAATTAAATAAATCATTGCTATTTATTTATCCTTTTGTGAATTTTTAGTGTTTCTGTGTGCTTCTTGGTCAAGTAATTTCTATTTTTTAATTCATTAAATAGGTTTTAAACTTTTAGGATTACGATTTGTGTACTAAGGGATGATTTGTTAAAGTAAGAGAGAGAGTCTTGGCTAAATTTTCCTTAAGTTGAATATTAAATGTACACATATATTTATACAAATAGAGGAGGGTGAGGTGTGTTCTTACAACCAATATGGGACTAAAACCCACTAGAATACACTATTATCAACAACCCCTCTCAAACTCATATTGGATCAAACAAAGTGAGTTTGCGTATAAGAAACTGGAACCGATGAACATGTAAGGCATTTGTGAAAAAATCTGCAAGCTCGTAAGCGGATGAGACATGAGGAAGTAGAATTATCTTGTCCTTGATAACTTGTTGACAGACAAAATGAGCGTCAATCTCAATACGTTTAGTCCTCTCATGAAATACTGGCTTGTTAGCAATCTGGATGACACTCTTATTATCACAGTAGAGAGGAGTATGGGTCGTAACAGAAATACCAAAATCACTGAGAAGACGACGACGATGAATAATCTCTTTAGCTATTATTATTGTGGATATTGCACAATACCCTGCCTCGGTACTGGAAAGAAGAATAACATCTTGTTTCTTACTCTGCCATAAAATAAGGGAATCACCAAAAATATACAATAACTTATGGTAGACTTTCTAGTAGTGGGATCACCAGCCCAATCAGCATCAAAATATGCTCAAAGCTCTAACTTAGATATAGTAGAAAATAAAAAAGACCGAGTGCTAGTACCCCGGAGATACCGAAGAATCCGTAATAAAACAACATAGTGTATAGAACATGGGGCACTAACAAATTGACTGATAATGCTAACAACATAAGAGATATCTGATCGAGAGATGCACAGATAGACCAACTGACCAACAAAATGTCAATATTGTGTAGGGTCAGGTAGAGGCTCACCATCAGCAGAGCGAAGTTTGACATTCTGTTGGAGTGAAGTATCGACAGTTGCATCGTCAGTTAGCTCAGCTCGATCTAGAATATCCGAGAGATACTTTTGTTGAGATAGTAGTACACCCCGCGGGCCTTGAGAAATTTCTAGACTAAGAAAATATCAAAGAGATCCAAGATCCTTCATGTGAAACTGTTGTTGTAACTGAGATTTTGCGTACTGTATACTAGTCACATCATTACCTGTAATGATCATATCATCTACATAGATGAGTAATAAAACTCTGCCACGCGATGTAATACGAACAAACAGAGAAGCATCTTGATGACTTTTCATAAAGCCCGTCTTGAACACGACATTGCGAAAATACTCAAACCAAGCGCGAGGTGCCTGCTTGAGATCATAAACAACATGACGAAGGAGACATACATGTCCCGAAGAAATATTGGACCCTGGAGGCGGTTGCATATATACTATCTCAGATAAAGAGCTATAGAGAATAACATTCTTGGCATTCATCTGGTATAAGGATCAACGATGAGCAGCAGCAACCGCACGTAGAGTACGAACGGTGGGCACCTGAGAAACAGGAACAAATGTCTCCTCATAATCAATACCTTATTGCTTAGTAAAATCTCGAGCCACTAAACGAGCTTTCCAACGTTCAATGGTGCCATCATGACGATATTTGACCTTATAAACTCATTTACTGTCAACAAGAGAGATCCCAGGGGGACAACATCCCAGGTATGTGTTTGCTTAAAGGTCTAAAATTCCTCAGCCATAGCCTGTCCCCACTCTGAAAATTAAATTGTCTCTTGAAAACACTTTAGCTCAACGGTAGTATGAATGACAGCAAGAAAGTTATGAAAGATAAGCGAATAGGAAGTAACCAAAGCATACCGGGCAGGCATGATATGTGTGCGCTTGCCTCGACGAAGAGCAAGAAGAACCTCAGGCGGGGAGATGCAGGTGCAGGTGCGTGGAGATTAACAGTATGTTCTGGAGTGAGGGTTGTGTCTAGTGGATAAGAATCAGATGGTGTAAGAGAAGGCTCGGGTGAGGAAAAGTCAACAGAAGGAGATGAAGAGATGTCATGAAGATCTCGAAAGAAAAACCGAGGTGAATAAGTGAGTGATGCAGCTGACGGGGAAGCATGATCAGTAAAGTGGAAGAAATTAAAGTCATCAGAAGCAGAATAATATGGAGAATCCTCTTCGAACTGAATATGACGAGATATATGAACTCGACGAGTTGCGGGATCATAACAACGATGATCTCGATATCCCGAACTAATTCCTAAATAGACACAAGAAACAACTCTGGGAGAACATAGACGTATGGACTCTGGAAGGTGAAGATATTTCAGAAAATAGAGCTTGTGCCTCCTACGACCTGCCCCAACTGTCTTGCCCGTCTGTGGATCCTGCACAATACAAGTATCAGAAGAAAATAAGACAAGTCAGTCAGCCATACATAAAGAGCTAATAGAAATTAAATTCAAGCATAGCTAATGAGCCACATTGACGGGACCGAGTGTTAGACGATCAGATGGATCATTTTATGGGGGTAATAGAGCCATATCGAGTGATGAATAATGGTTGTCCAACAGTTGTGTAGATAGGGGGAAGAGAAGATGAAGTAAAGACAGAGGATAAAAGTGAGGCATTATAAGTCATATGAAAGGAACAACCAGAGTTAAAAATTTAGAGATCATTCATACCAAAGACCGAAAGATTAGCTGAAGAACCAACAAAATACATACCAAAGAGTTGTGCGGCGGATGTAGAGGTGATATGCTAAAAAACATCAAGTTGACGGCGAAGACTTTCAATAGCTTGAATAGTAGAGTTTGAAGTAGTAGAAGGTATAGCATTGACTAGTAATCCTGGTGTACGAGAGGGTTGAGACTGAGGGGGTCGCCGACCACGACCAGTACCTGAGGAACGTAACTCAGGATGAAGCTTGAAGCATGTCTCAGTGCGATGTTCTTTCTTCTTGTAATATTTGCAAGAGAGCATAGATCGAGCCTGTGAAGAAGTACGTGAGAGCTCCCATAACTATGAAGCCTGTGAAGAAGTATGATTCATAACAGGAGCAGTGTCAGGTACAGACAGAACAGTCTTGAGTGAAGAGGTAGGAGTGTCTGTTGACAATTTGAATCGTATTGTCTGCTGTCGGGTCTCATAAGCAGTGAGAGCTCCCATAACCGAGGCTAAAGTCAAAAATTAAGGCTGATGAAGTAGTTGATCAACCATAGTTAAATATTCAGGAAGGGACTGAAACAATTGATGAACCTCACCAGTCGTACCAGGCTAGCCAGTCTTCTTATGTGGAATTATGTCCAGGAAGCATGAAGCGTAATTCTATCTAAAAAACTTGTATTTTTCTAAAATGGGACTGCAGAGAGAAACTACCTTTACGTTGTAGAGCAATGCGTTGCAGAAGATATGCCTCTCGTGTACTAGAGCACTCAATGAAACACTCAGTGAGGCGAGTCCACATGGCCTGAGTAGAGGGAAGCGAACCAATCTCGACAGTGAGACCAGAGCCAACACAACAAATGAGATAATCCATGACACGAAACTCCTGTAACTGTAATTCTGAACTCTCCTTGACATAGAAAGCACGAGCGGTCTGAAGATCAACATCACCACTGCCAGATGCAATAGTATTGGATGAAGCAATAATGCTGATGAACAGTGGAATTGGTCCCGTACTGGTGAGATGATCAAGCAAACCAGCATCACGCAAGATATTGGTGACAATGGTGGACCACCCTGCCCAGTTACTTTGATCATTGAGGGGCAAATGTGGTTTGAGAATCTTCTCTGAAGGAACCATAACAGCAATGTTGAGACGTTGAGATGTTGAGACCTATAACGAAACAACGCGGATGTTGAGACATTAAGATGTCGAGATGGATTGAAACGGCGATGCCGTTACTCATTGCGAAACGACAATGCCGTTCGTTTGAGGCCGAGAGACGGCTTGAAACGGCAATGCCGTTAATTTGAGACCGAGAAACGGTCTTGAAAAACGGCTATGCCGTAAATTTGAGACCAAGAGATGGTCTTGAAATGACAATGCCGTTAAAATAGAACCCGAATGTTTAAAATAGAACCCGAATGTTAGAATGAAACCTGAAGGTTTAAAATATAATCCCGAAGATTAAAATAGAACCCGAAAGTTAAACGAGAACGCGAAATGCTTTAAGAGGTCATAAAGCGGCAAGGCCATAAAATCTGGCAGATGAACGCAAAAAAACATTAAACGGCTGCAAAGCAGCAAGACCAAGATTTGACAAAAGAACGTAGAAGCGTTAAAAAATTTTATTGGAAGGGAAATAATAACCCTTGCTCTGATACGATGTTAAAGTAAGTGAGAGAGTCTTGGGTAAATTTTCCTTTAGTTGAATATTGAGTGTACACATATATTTATACAAGTAAAGGAGGGTGAGGTGTGTTCTCACAACCAATGTGGGACTAAAACCCACTATAATACACTATTATCAACACGATTCAAGTGAAGGATTTACGTAGAGACATCAGATTCAATAAAATAGGATCAAATTCCTACGAAAGGCACACAATCGTGAGGGAATAAGGTCAAAGAACTTGGAAAATATATGTTTTGGCTAATATTCAAAGGAGAACCAGGGGGGTGAGCTAGTATTAAGAGAGATTAAGAGTTATTATAAATAAAAGTGACATGTTCAGGTTTAATGAGGATGAGAAAGGAGGTATTATCAACCTTTTCACTGAGGATTGGTGTGTATTATAAATATTCAAGAAGCAAGGAATGAGAAGTATTATAGCTACAACAATTTAATGAAGAATTTGATATTATTATTATTAGCAATTTTACTGAATAAAATGCATTTCGGCGTGAGAGGAGGAAGTTGACAAGTTGAGATAAGTCTGCAACCAACATAAAGCGAGAAAAGTACTCCTTTTCAAACTGTCATTCTTTATATATTGTGTTTTTTCGTCATTGAATACGTAGAAGTAGACAGGATATGCATTAAAGTTCATGCAATTAAGGGTGATCTTATTTTCATTTGTCATAACAAACAAAAATGCTTAGTCTATTTGCACTGCATTAACTGTTGTTTTTATACACTGACATCATTTTGTGAAACTTTGATTGAAGGTCTGGGCCATAGCAGATTCTAAACGACAGGGGTATCTTGATTTTCATGAGTTTATTAGCGCAATGCAGGTTGTTTCTTGCACGTTTTATCTTGCTTTTATAATCACAAGTTACATTTTAGACTGACTCATATTAAACTGCACAGCTAATTGCACTAGCACAGGCAGGTCATGAGATTACACAAGATTCCCTTAAGCATGAAGGTGAATAAATTGAACAGTTATTTATGCAGTACCTTAATTCGGTTTTTAGAAAGTGTGATATATTATGATAGTCTTTCTGACACATTATATTCGTCAATCATGGCAGATTTGAAGAATTTTAAACCTCCGGAGATGGAAGGTTTGGATGAACTAGTAGCTGTACGTTTATTTTACTTTTTTCCTTAGGTGCAAGCTAGTGCTTAGCCATGGACTATTAGTGACTTTATGAAATATTTTATCATCATTTAGAAAGCCAAGCATTCAACAAAGAGGAGTGAACCTGATCCTGAACGTAAGTTGACATGTCAGTTTTCTGCTGCTACAATATTACTTATATCTCTAACATCATCTCATTGTTTCTTGTGACACATGTAGCATCTCCCGAGACCCCCTCACCCATATCATTTAATTTCTTCAGCACAAAATCAACAAAGAAGGTGCTTCCATCCACCTTGTTTTCTTTGGTGTATAAATTTCTTATTAGCTGTGATACTGTGAATCTTCTCTAGCCTTTAGATTTTTTTTAGGAATTTAATATTGTCAGTGTCTTTTAACACCAGAGATATCTTTTTTATAGCTTCAGTTTGGCTCTGCTGTTAAATGGATTCCCATGAGCAGCTGATGTTTAATTATTACCTTTTCAGCAGTATTTTTCTTATATTATTTCATTTGTCAAATATGACACCCCTGTTGTTATTTGTTACCTATCCAATTAAATAACTCTCTCACAGATCTTTCTGATAAATTTGCATTAGAGATAAACTTGATATATCATAAACACGGAACACCCTAGCCAAGAGTCCGTAGAACTTCAAACGAGGTGGCTCACTAACACTGCTCTATGCTTGACATTTTTGGAATACCTTTCAACATAGTATTTATGATACATATATTCCATTGGACGGCTTATACAGATCTGCCAGTGCGAATGGGTCACCACGTAGAATTCAAGAGACAGTTATCCTTGTTATCCTTGTTTTTTCATATGCGATCAATTGATATTAGAAAAGAAGAGAGTTCTATGCTTATCTGTTGCTTGGGGTCCACTTTTCAACTTATGAAAGAGGAACATTATAAAGGAATGTTTTTGATGTACATCTTATAAATTGTTAAATTTTAACCTTTTGGAGATTGTGTGGAGTCAGGGTGACTCCTACCAGAGGATCATTTGAGAGTTGAGTGAACAAAGAATAAGGTGTTAAGTTCTGCTAAAACATGATTCCTTTTATGTTAACTATGTAGAATATAGTAAATCTGACCTTGATTAAACTGGAATTTCTTCAATCTCAATCAAACTATGGTTTCTTTCTCCAATATCCTCGGAAGCAAATCTTCATGTGATCAACTATTGCATTTCTTTGCTAACAGATTATTACCTGCATACTGATTTTCAGTAAAATAGTTCTTTTTTATATTAAGTTTTGTAATGTTTTTTATGCCTATATTTTGTACGCTCCTGTACTACCTGTTTTTGTTTTTCTATTCAGATTCCTCTGAGCTCTGTCACTTCTATTATTGATGGCTTGAAGAAACTATATATTGAAAAATTAAAGCCATTGGAAGTTACCTATCAATTTAATGATTTTGCTTCTCCTTTGCTGGTGAGTTATGCAATACATATATTCCTCTTATCATGGGCAAACACCTTATAAGTTTCATTTCATTTTAAAAATCAGCCGTTAAGCGCTTTAGGGGGTTGTAGTTGATGGTTTTTTATAAGTGAATACAAGCATAACAGCAAGTTACTTATTTTGCTTTGAACTCTCCTTTTTTAGACAAACAGTGATTTTGATGCCAAGCCCATGGTTATGCTTTTGGGTCAGTATTCTACAGGGAAGACAACATTTATAAAGCATTTGCTAAGATCTAGCTACCCAGGTTTGTTGGATTTTCTATCTAATTAAAATTACTTCCTGCTTATTTTGAAGGATGGGTTTGCGAGAGAGGGTGAGGGCATATTAATAGATATTGTGTAACTAATCAAATTTCACTATTTTATGCAGGGGCTCATATAGGACCAGAGCCCACAACCGATAGATTTATTGTTGTCATGGTATGCTTTTAGTTTGTGTTCCTATTAGTGGTAGTCCATATTATTTGTCCAAGTAAGTTATACATTCAATCAGATCATTTTTTGTGATTGATGAAATTATACAGATTCTTTTAATGTGATTATGTTCTTTATTTTCATTACATCACAAAAATATTAAAGTTACTTGAGAAGGATATCTAGAAGAACACTATTTCCATATTTCATTTTGATTTATTTTATTTTAGAGATTACAATAAGGTTTTTGCAGAAGCAGAAAATAGAAAGAGATAAATAGGACGGATGATAGTGCACAGGAAAGGAAGTGATAAGTATAGACAAACATGGCCTATTGTTCAGCTTGGTAACTCAAGGTTAATATCAACTCGAGTTAATTAGATTAGCTGTGTGATCTCTTTGGCACCTAAGACTGCGCGCCTGCATTTAGATCTTGAACGAACTAAAGAATTTCAGCATAATCCTCCAATCATAATAGAGGTCTATCACTTGATGCTTGTGGAGCCTTTGTACCATGGTAGATATTCACGGAATGGAACTAACGGATGACACGGCACTTCTGCTACAGACCAGAAGGAAATCATAAACACAGAGAAACAACAAAGATATAAAAGTTAAAAGACCATGTTCACAAATGTAGTTGGTAAATGATTTGGAGGATAAATCAGGGAGAAATAAATTTAATATTCCGTTATAGCAAACTTTAATCATGCGATTCATATCTTCTGGAATTAAATAATGGTACATCATCTTTTATATCAACATTCTTTCGGGTGCATGGTTTGAAACTTTTTGTTCTTTGAAGTACATCACTTGTGTTTAAATTATCAATATCCACTAATCTCTTGCACAGTCAGGACCAGATGAAAGGAGTATTCCTGGAAACACTGTTGCTGTGCAGGCAGACTTGCCTTATAATGGTCTTACATCATTTGGAACTGCATTTTTATCAAAATTTGAGTGCTCTCAGATGCCACATCCAGTATGTTGACCTTATCCTAAAATCTGCAAATCTTCATGTAAAAGTAAGTTGCAAACTGACTGTTTTACTGTATTTGCCAGCTTCTGGAGCACATAACATTTGTTGATACTCCTGGGGTTCTTTCTGGAGAAAAGCAAAGAACCCAGCGTAGCTATGATTTTACTGGTGTCACGTCTTGGTTCGCAGCTAAGTCTGATCTCATACTTCTTCTATTTGATCCACATAAGCTTGACATCAGTGATGAGTTCAAACGTGTAATTGGATCACTCCGTGGTCATGAAGATAAAATACGCGTGGTTCTCAATAAGGCAGACCAAGTACACACTCAACAGGTGAAATGCCCCCCCCCTCCGCGCGCGCGCGCACGCACGCAGAACAACCTTCAAAAAAAAGTGCATTACTTCATCTATTACCATCTTCACTGTTCAGTTGAGTTTTTGACTAAGTGTTTCCGGATATTATCAGCTCATGAGAGTTTATGGTGCGTTGCTGTGGTCATTGGGGAAAGTCCTGAATACCCCTGAAGTCATGCGTGTTTATATTGGGTAAGAATCTCTCTTTATATGGCTTCTTCCATTGAGCTGTATTCCAACACTATTTAGTTAATATTTCTAAGTTGCTTCTGTTTAGCCCTTTTGTTAAAATTTTGCTACTGATACCTGTGTCTACAGAAGATTTAATTGGTATACGAGTTGACTTAGTTTATGTCGCTAAAATTGGGTCAGTTGATTCAGCATACCTAATATCTTTGATCTTTTGAATTTAATGTTTCAGTTCTTTCAATGACAAGCCTGTAAATGAAGCGGCCTCTGGACCTATTGGAAAGGAGTTGTTTGAGAGAGAGCAGGATGACCTCATCTCTGACCTAAAAGACATCCCCAAGAAGGCTTGTGATCGCCGGGTAAGTTCAATGTACATCTTGTTCTGATCCCTCAGTTATAGTTATCCTTCATTTGCCAAAAAACCTCTGCAGATCAATGAGTTTGTTAAGCGTGCAAGAGCTGCCAAGATTCATGCATATATAATCAGTCATTTAAAGAAGGAGATGCCAGCAATGATTGGCAAAGCCAAAACTCAACAGCGCCTCATAGATCGCCTCGAGGATGAGTTTGCAAAGGTAGCAACTTCACTTTATCAGCATGGCACTAATTTTAATTTGTCAGTAAACTGAGAGGGAAAAAATGAAGCTTATGGCATACTGGTTTCTTGAGTCTTTGTTTTGATAATTAGTGCAGTATTTCTTGATGTTTCTTTTCTATTGTCATCTAACTCTTACTCCTCTTCCACAGGTTCAAAGGGAGTATCATCTACCAGCAGGGGATTTTCCCAGCGCGGAGCGCTTCAGAGAAGTCCTGAGTGGTTACAACATCGACAAATTTGAGAAGCTGAAGCCAAAAATGATTCAAGCTGTTGATGATATGCTTGGATACGACATTCCAGAGCTCCTCAAGAACTTCAGAAACCCATACGAATGAGGATCGATCTTGGCATTTATGTCGAATGCACTTGTTCTCAGACACTTCATCCAATAGCTAAGTAGCCATATTTTGTAACTTTGTAGTGGAAAAATGGCAGTAGGCTTCGTGCTACATCTCGCCTCATTTGAAATAGACTTCCAAATTACTTCAAAAAGTGTTGTAAACCTGTACAATTTTGCCCGAGGAGAGAATTTAGAAGAGTGAGTATTGCAATGTTGTTGTAAGCGATTTGCATATAGCTTACCTAACAGTCATCAGGCATTGTAGTTTTAATAATATAAAAAGCCCTAAGTATTGGGGTTTTGTGAAATTTTTACACTTGAATGAAGCAAAAGGAGATGAGAGTAAAAGAGAGATTATTGCAGATCAGTGGCGGATCCACAACCTCTCGTGTGGTGGTTCGAAATTAACGCTAATTTTTTTTTCAAATACTACTAAGGAAAGCATAAAAATAATAAACAAATAATAATAAAGAGAAAATAGGAGAAAGTAGAAAAGTAAAGAGAAAATAAGGATTATAGGAGAAATTAGACACATAAAGAGGCTGTAGGAGGTTTTGAACCTTTGACCTCTTTGAAGGTAAGCTAATGCTTATACCACTAGGCTACAAATTACATTTGTTCACAAACTAACATATATGATATATATACTATTTCAAAATCTGAGGTGGTTCAAATGAACCACTTTGAACAAGAACAGGTCCGCCACTGTTTCTTGAGTCTTTGTTTTGATAATTAGTGCAGTATTTCTTGATGTTTCTTTTCTATTGTCATCTAACTCTTACTCCTCTTCCACAGGTTCAAAGGGAGTATCATCTACCAGCAGGGGATTTTCCCAGCGCGGAGCGCTTCAGAGAAGTCCTGAGTGGTTACAACATCGACAAATTTGAGAAGCTGAAGCCAAAAATGATTCAAGCTGTTGATGATATGCTTGGATACGACATTCCAGAGCTCCTCAAGAACTTCAGAAACCCATACGAATGAGGATCGATCTTGGCATTTATGTCGAATGCACTTGTTCTCAGACACTTCATCCAATAGCTAAGTAGCCATATTTTGTAACTTTGTAGTGGAAAAATGGCAGTAGGCTTCGTGCTACATCTCGCCTCATTTGAAATAGACTTCCAAATTACTTCAAAAAGTGTTGTAAACCTGTACAATTTTGCCCGAGGAGAGAATTTAGAAGAGTGAGTATTGCAATGTTGTTGTAAGCGATTTGCATATAGCTTACCTAACAGTCATCAGGCATTGTAGTTTTAATAATATAAAAAGCCCTAAGTATTGGGGTTTTGTGAAATTTTTACACTTGAATGAAGCAAAAGGAGATGAGAGTAAAAGAGAGATTATTGCAGATCAGTGGCGGATCCACAACCTCTCGTGTGGTGGTTCGAAATTAACGCTAATTTTTTTTTCAAATACTACTAAGGAAAGCATAAAAATAATAAACAAATAATAATAAAGAGAAAATAGGAGAAAGTAGAAAAGTAAAGAGAAAATAAGGATTATAGGAGAAATTAGACACATAAAGAGGCTGTAGGAGGTTTTGAACCTTTGACCTCTTTGAAGGTAAGCTAATGCTTATACCACTAGGCTACAAATTACATTTGTTCACAAACTAACATATATGATATATATACTATTTCAAAATCTGAGGTGGTTCAAATGAACCACTTTGAACAAGAACAGGTCCGCCACTGTTGCAGATTATATCAAAAAATATAGCAAAGGGCGAAAGGAATCTCCTATATTTTCAGTTAATTTGTTTTTCTTTCTTTCTCCCCCTGATATTTATGGCTCAAAAAATGGAGAAAAAACAACAACATGAATGGCTCATAAAAGTAGGTGTATCTTTATAAGTAGGATTAGAAATATAGAAAATTATGCAAAGCAAACAAGTCATCGTTATTTTCCGCAAATAATTATACAACAACAAAACGGCCTTCGTTTGCATGCGCATAATTAGAATGTGTTTGACAACTTTTCAAAATACCAAAGTTGATCTGGTTCTATTTTTGGAAGAAACGTGTTTGACCAAAATTGGGCAAAGTATTAACTCGGTTTTCCTAAGATAAAATTTGAAATGCGTTCAAATTTTGATGTATTTTTTTTCTTGATATTGTTGGACGTCGTATTATTTCTGCACATTGTCAACGACGGACGCATTTTTGAATATTTTGTCCGGATCTACCGTAAAATATGATTTGTCCTCGAATTATCAGATAACCGGTTGCTCATGTGGGCCCCAGCGTTAAGTACTCCGTTGGCCCACAGCGAAGAGAGTCACAGAATCTCGCGTCTTTCCTGTTCCCAATAACTCTTCCGCATCAAAATTTAGCCCAAAAAACAACAAAAAATCTGGGTAAAAAAAAAAAAGAAGAAGAAGGAGAAGATGAAGAGATTGCAAGGGAAAGTTGCGATCGTGACGGCTTCGACCCAAGGAATTGGATTCGCCATCGTCGAGCGCTTCGGACTCGAAGGCGCCTCCGTCGTCGTCTCATCTCGAAAGCAGGTCGAAGTTTGACCTCATCCAATTTCAAAAAAGATCTGGTCTTTTTTATTTTTACTAATATTATTATTTCTTGATCTCTTGTGTGAAATTTTTAGAAAAACGTAGACGAGGCAGTAGAAAAGCTCAAATCCAAAGGAGTTGAATGCTTGGGGATCGTCTGCCACGTCTCAAACTCTCAACAGAGAAAGGACCTCGTCGAGAAAACCGTTCAGGTAGGAAAAGGATCCCTGTTTTATGTTAATTTCAGGGAAAAGATTGCTCCTTTAGTTCAATTTTGTGAAAAATTTGTGCTGGTTTATTGCAGAGGTATGGGAAAATAGATATAGTTGTGTCGAACGCAGCTGCGAATCCTTCCATAGATAATATATTGGATATGAAAGAGTCTGTGCTTGATAAGCTTTGGGATATTAACGTGAAGGCTTCTGTTTTACTCTTGCAGGTATATTATGTGCCTATTTATGGTTAATTTTTAGTTTATAAGGTTGAAGTTCACAAAACTACCATGAACTTTGGGATAGTAAACTCTCTTTTTTTTTGAATCCGGGCAATTGCAGACCGCTGCCGATTGGAAATTGTTACCAATGACGTTAACGTCTTTGAAAATGGTCTTAAATTAACCCTAGTTATGTCTATCAAGTATCAACTCGGTAATATAGAAGATGTATAAAGAACACAAAGGCAGAATCATATAAAACATGTCATGTATGAGGCATGTGATAGCTTATCTAACAGTCATCAGGCATTGTAGTTTTAATAATATAAAAAGCCCTTAGTAGTTTTCTCTAATAAAAATGTGTTCATGTAATTTTGTGAATACTACCCTTCTTATAATTTTTGAGTGAACGACTAAGCTAAAATGACTGTTACAGGCTGCTGCACCACATTTGAGTAAGGGGTCATCGGTGATCCTCATTGCATCTATTTCTGGATATCATCCACAGTCGTCTATGGCGATGTATGGAGTCACAAAAACAGCTCTTCTCGGGCTCACCAAGGTCATTTTCTTTGGTCCCTTTATGTGAAGTTATAGCTTCTGATTAGTGGCGCACTGTATCTCTGATTTTTTTCTCTTTTTTTTTCTATATTGATGTCTAATATAGTAATATATGATCAAGTTCTGGTGATAAGAAAGTATATCTTAAGTGGTACTATTGTATCCTTGTTGAGCCTGCTCTTATTGGTCTTTGGACAACAGCTACACTAATAGCTTGCTAGTAGTTATCTGCATGTAATTTGTTCATTTAAAATTTAATATCTCGATAGGGTCTGACTATATGACTAGTTATGTTTTACATAAGATCTTGAGCTTCCGGCTATTAACATTAAATAGTTGGGCTTTGTTCCACCTTTCCAATAATTGGAAATTTGGGAGAGTATCTTGAATCCATGATCTATGGAATAGCTACCCTACCAAATATGTCTATTTAAAAATAAGCTACTGATTTTGGAATCTTCTTCTATAACCTCTTCTATAGCCCCGTTTTTTAAGATAGTAGCTGGGGAAATCCTATATTCCTAAAAGGTCCAATATAAATTCAGAACTTGTCAAAAAGGCATTGTGCTTAAGCTGCAAGCCGTCATCTTCAAATATATTACATCAGGTTGTTGCTTGTTAACTTTGTGACATCATGATTTAGATAAAATACCCTATACAATTATTGTCTAACAGATTTTTTTTCCATTCAATTTTTATAATACGAACCTGAAGCCCATCCTTACCGTAATCAGTTATATCTAAAAAGACGGCTTCTAGGTTCATTACATCCATCCAAACCTTCACAATCTACATGTGTGAACCATAATAGGGAGATATCTTGTCTATCTCAGATGTCATCTAGGTGGGATTTATCAGGTTATATACTATATGCAAACCAATCTGCTGCTGCGTTGGATTTTAACATCCACAAACTCCTTTTTCTTTAACAAGTTTGGAGATCATGTCCTTAATAGCTTTGACCGCCTATAAAGTTTGTGTATGAAATTTGACTGTAGGTGCTCTTGATGCTGAAAAATATTGAAGATATCCTGCAATCATGTCAGTTATATGAAAGTGCTTGCAGTGTCTCTATAATGTAGGACCACATATAATGTGATCATACAAATATTCTGTTAGTTATGATGTTAATTTAAAGTTGTAACTTGGGCTTGTCCACACATGATTTATTTAGTGGCTTATTAACTCTATCATAACGTCTATGTCCTATCATGATGATGTTTATTCTTGTGGTCGCATTTATTAAAAAGATACTTGTGTTATTGTCGAGAACGATGATAATAGTGTTTCTAATAAACATTGATGATAAAGGAATTGGAAATATTTCCTGGATCACGTATACCTTATTAGCATCAACAATGGCTTTATATATCATTCTTCGTGGATGCTTGCAGGCCCTTGCTGCTGAGATGAGCCCAGACTCTCGAGTCAACTGCATAGCTCCTGGATTTGTGCCTACCCATTTTGCCGACTTCATCACAAACAATCCCACCATTGTAAGCACTCAGGGAGACATAATTCTGCCTCATCCACAAGTTTTTGTGCTCTCTGTATGAGAAACTTCTCGCAGGAATGTTGCTCACATTTACTCATTCTAGGAAGCACTTAAACAAATTGCCTGCACCTGTTATCTTCCATGTTCACAAAACCAAGTGTCTGTTTCGCTTGTTGTCTGATATTCAAGATAATTTATCCTTGTAATTGCAAAAATCAGGGACCTATAGTATATTTTCACTCTTGTTCTAATAGCCTCATAGGTTAGGTCATCAGTCTTTGCATAAGAATTGAATTTAGCTTCTGGTCATCTAATATTGACGTTATATGTCACAGAGGAAAGAAATAGAGCAGAACACCCTGCTGAAGAGGCTCGGGACAGCAGAAGACATGGCAGCGACTGCTGCTTTTCTTGCATCCGATGACTCTGCATACATTACAGGAGAAACCATTGTGGTTGCTGGAGGTATGCCTTCAAGGCTCTAGAGTCCATTTGAAGCTCTCTTATACCTTCAATTGTGAACCAGTTTCACTCTCTGCTGCAGATTTGCCTTTATAAGTCTAGGAGTTACCTTCAAAGCTCTGCTCTGTATTTGTAACTTTTAGAAAGGATTTGGTTGTTTCAGAGTTTAGTTTTTAGCGTCTCACTTCTCCTCAACTGAAATGTAAACCAGTCTCTTTATAATAATAAAAGATTGACATTGGCAAGGTTGAAATTATTGACAATTGTGTGTTTCTTTGAAGGTTGAGAGAATGTTAGTTTACAGGTTTGGGAGGGATATCAATGATTTCGATTCCGTAAAAAGTGTTGTACAAAATGCTTGCTTACTGAATACAGCTCTCTCACCAAAAGTTTGCTTTAGGAGAAACAAAAGCTAAAAGAGCTGCTAGCTGAAGCATACCTCCTTTTTTACCCATAGAATTATCATAAATTAAAAGGGAATTAACCCTCCCCAGAGGTCAAATAGGTTGAGAACTAAAATCCATTTTCTCAATCACATTTGTATGTTTTCTCCCCTTTTTTTCTTGAGAAAATAATCACCTTTATCTATTATTGGGGGTCACGTATCTATTATCCTAAACAAATACAGGACTGTGGTTATGACTCATGACATCAAGACCAAGCAAGTAAACAGAAGGCATTTTCATTCAACCTGCTCTGTCTCGGGCAAGGAAACTCTAGAAAATGTAAAAGAAAAACCTTCGGTTTCTCAGCTGCTAACAGACCAACCCACAATAATGACACCTCCATCAGCTAAATAATCTCAGCAATTTCAATTAAGTGAACAAGCCATGAGTAAGTATATCATCATGGAATGAGAAGCATATATATATATAATTGTCTTTGTTCTCGTTCCAGTACCTGCAACTTTCAGAGAAAAAAAGAAAATGCAGAACCAATTAGAAGAAAATACAGCTTACAAGATAAACTGCGGCGCACTATTAAACAACATTACCTTACATACATCCTCCCTCTTTTTCACATTCACAACCCTTTATATGTACATCAAAATGTACATCACCAGAACCTATTTAAATACCTTATTTCCCCCTAGAGGTTAGAAAAAGAATACATATTTTCGTTTTCTAATAATTTTAGTTCTATCTCCAGAGGCTGGAGGATGATGTAATATGAAAGTATTTACACATGGCATACTGCTTCTGGTGATCTATCTCCTATGAGGATTAGGCCTTCGACATGCAGTGGAAAGAAACATCTGTGCCACTGGCAACCGGTAGAAATGATGTCTCTGGGTTGATCGATAATCGTTAGACTCTCATGCTTCCTGAGAATTCCCATCACACTTGCAGTGCCACCCTCTTTAATAAATCTGCATCGTTGTTTTAAGTTATAATGAAGTACTTGTTCATAACTTCATTCTGCATTAGTAAAGTTAACAATTAAGAACATGAACAAAGGTATACTGCACATGAGTGATTACCATGGGAAAAGGGAAACACTTGATTGAATACACAATCTCTGTTTTAAAAAAACCCCGCCTAGTCCGCTTAGACGTACGCCTAGGCCTAGGCGGTACCTAGGCCGCCTAACTAACGCCTAACACCTAAGCGGTATTTAGGCTGCCCATCTAGATTTTACGAACATTTAGGGGAGCATTGTCTGCTTACGTGGATTACACCCGGTAGGCCTTGGTTGTGATTTTATGTGTTGTAGCCTACACGTCCTCCAAACTTCATTAACCTCCAAATATGAACACCTCTACTACCTCCTCCGACCTTCAGCAAAACCTCATCGATCACCATTTAAATGAAGAAAGAAATCCGCCTAGACACCAGTCCGGCATCTAAACTTTCTATAACATTGACATTCACTATCAATTATTGTAATTAAAAATAAAAAAACATCTTAGGCTCTAACCTTGTTAATTATTATTTTGGTTATTTAGTATCTAAGTATGCATGATTTATTATGAAACTAAAATTGCTATATTTTTTTTGAAAATTTATATGAATTTAATACATATTTTTATCAATTATTATAATAACTAAAATTGCTATATTTTTTTTGAAAATTTATATGAATTTAATACATATTTTTATCAATTATTATAATTAAATAATTTAAAATGAATTTAATACATATTTTTATCAATTATTATAATTAAATAATTTAAAAATAGTCAAACGCCTAGGCGTACGCCTAGGGTCTAGGCGCTAGCTGCTCGCTCAAACGTCTAGTCTGTCTAGCGCCTTTTGTAACATTGTCGAGCTCCCCCGATCTCTGTAACTACTAACAAGGTAAATAGTACTTCTTAAATATCTATTTAAGTTAGTTTTTTTTTTTGAGAAAATATCTATTCAAGTTAGTTAACAGTAACTTAAACTTAAGAAGTGTAAGTTAACAGTAAACTTAAGTTTAAGTTAAACTTAAAAGTTTATGCTAACAGTAAACTCAAGTTTAAGTTTAAATTTAAGTTTTTGTTGATGGTAAACTTAAGTTTAAGTAAACAGTAAACTTAAGTTAACAATATTTTAGTTAACAGTGAACTTAAGTTTAAATTTATTGTTAACTTAAATTTAACAGTAACTTATAAGTTAACAATAATTTGAGTTGAGAATGAGTTTTTCACTGTTGAGATGAACTTATAATTTGAGTTGAGAAGTATAAACATACAAAGAGCTATTGTAATTGGTAAACCAAGCAATTTAGTTAATAGTATTTGTACTTTAGTATTTATGCATCTTTGATTGAGTATATATATATTTATCTTCAAGTATCACAATTAAAAAGAAAAGAAAAAAAAACGCCTAGAAACCGCTTAGGCGCCCGCCTAGACGACTAAACGCTGAGCGCCAAGTCCGACGCCTAGAAACGCCCAACGTTTAATGTAACATTGTACACAATCATGCAATGTATCAAAAAGGGAAATAAAATGACAATTTACCTTGAATTTGTTTGCCTATTTGTCACGAAAGAAATATCGAAAGCCTAAAGAGAACTATAATTGCAGTTATAAAGCATATCTCGAGAAGTAAGATCACCAGAATGCATATTATGAACCATATTGGACATGCTCATTATATCTGATTCTATAGCATAGGCAGTCTTCACTATCATTCTTCAGTTATATGAAACCACCAGCAAGAGAATAAAATCGAGAAAGGCGATATAATTAACAAGCTTGTCTTGCAGCCAATAAAATTACACAAATAATGGTTCAAATGTTCGAGCAAACTGAGTCTCCATCTCCAAATAATAAAATAACAGCTAGAAAGCTTTCACTCCTTTTTGGTGACAATAACATTGTTCCATCCGCTTTCTCCTAAATCGAGAAAATCAGTCTCCATCTCCAGTTTATCTTTAACCATATTGCTAAACGTTCCCTTCTTTGATTCATTGTCAGATAGGTGGATTGTAAATCCAAAAGCATATGCCTCCTATCGTGGATCCTCTATACGTTTGCTTCAGACTTTGAAGCTATTTGGATAATCATCCTCTTCATCTTGTGAAAGAAATTGATTTACATACTCTTCCATTCACTAAAGCATAAGAAACAGGACACTGCCACTACATGCCAAAAATCTGATGTGTCTTCATCCTACCCTGTTCCCTTTAAAGAACATTTGAATGGTCAAACAAATTGTGACACTGGTGTTAACTGTTTCAACCCTATAGCTAGGGGTGTGCAATTGGGCTTTCGGCCCGGACCCGACCTGGCCGGGCCCAAGAAAAGCCCGGGAAGTCCAGGACGACCAGGCTATGGGCCCGGGTCCAGGTTGTGTTGGTGAAGCCTGACTTAGGCCCGACCCAGCCCAGTTATTATACATATATAATTATATTATGATATGGTCATTAATGTGTACATATATATATTTCTAAGTGTCTTTTTTAGGAAAATGGCCATAGCCTCCTAGTCCTAGGTGTATATAGTTGTATATATTTAAGTAGAAAGTATGTATGTGTGTGTACACACACATATACATATACATATATATACACAACTATATATATACTTGTAAGTATACAAGTATATATATATATATATATATATATATATATATATATATATATACACTTGATATTAAGAATTATATATAAGTATATTGCATCTAGTATATATAAGTATATAACTATACTTAAAAAGTTAAAATAAGCATAATATAAGCATATAACAAATACATATATAACTGTATAATACGCATTTATAAATAGAGAAAGATGGGTATGCTTGGTACCAAGCACAAGTTTTTGTGCTTGATAGTGAGGTGACATATTCCCCTCCACTCATTGAAATCGGGGCCTACATTCACATGGGTTGGGGAGTGATTGGGAATTAGAATGAGTGGATGAAAATATGACACCTCACTACCAAGCACAAAATTTGTGCTTGGTACCAAGCATACACATTTTTCTCTTACAAATAAGTAATATATACTTATGCGATTCTCTCTCTCTCTCAAGTTATAACTTATAAGTATATACAATATGCTTACATAAAATATGCGTATATATAATATATAGCTATATACTAACATGTAAATATATACTAATACATACTTATATAAATATAATAAGATTAATCTAATTTTTAGCATTTTTTTGCCAAAAAAATCAAATAAAAAATCTGGGCCAGCCCGAAGCCCAACCCGGTTTGACCCAGACCTAGCAATCCGGGCCGGGCTTGGTCGGGCCGACCCGTTTGGACAGGCCTAACTATAACAGGTATCAAGTCTCTAAAAGTTACAAAAGTTGTTAGTCTTTCACTTGATAAACGTAAATTAAATTTTCACAAACGCGGAGCATATAGATGGACCCGATGTCTCTTGAAAGTAACAAAAAGAAACTTTAGCCATGTTTTCCGTTACTTTTGAACCTATGATGCCATCTTGGTTAGATTATTTAATATTTGAAGTATAGTTCTGTAAAGTAATACTCAATGTTGTATGTAGGTGATATTTTGAGAACAATCTATCTTATACGTGTTTCCAATTACTTTGTTTATTAACCTATTCTAAATAAATTGTTAAGTCTAACCAAAATATAATATATTAAATAATCTTCATATTTCCTGCTGCACTGTGGCCCATTTTCCCAAGGATGTTATGTCTATAGAATCGTGCCTTGATTCCCTCCATGCTTATGCAGACTAGGCCACAACGAACTATAAAGTCATGAGGTATGAAATAAGTAGAACACCCAAATCAAATTGCACAGTGTATAGAGTTTTATAACAACATATCATATGGCACATCATGGTCTAGTGTTGAATCACTATAAGCATACAAAGTTCATGCATCAAGAAGAAAAGTGTTTTTATGTTATGTTTTTATTTTATTTTTGCCTACGATCAATCAGCCTAAACTCTCTGGAATATCAATTCACTCGAGACCGTAGCAAGGTGTGGGGGGGGGGGGGGGACTAGGTTTCTAGGAAAGACTATGCCATCTAAAAAATGTACATGAGGAGTTATTTCGTTATAGAGTAAATTTGCAATATATGAGTGTCCCAGGTGAAAGTCAATGAATATAACCAAATATAACGTGTTATATCAATGAAAGCCAACTTATCGTCATTTTTTCCTCTTTTTCTAAGGTATAGGGCAATATAACCAAATATAACGTGTTATATCAATGAAAGCCAACTTATCGTCATTTTTTCCTCTTTTTCTAAGGTATAGGGCAGAAGTAACCAGAGTTACCATCAGTTTATATTTTCTTGGAAATCAAGTTCGCTTCTTACCCTTCTTCAAGGCGCAGTACCCGGCTTTCACCGGAAATATTATGCTCCGCCAGCCAGGTTAGAAAATTTGGATTTAGCTCTTTATTTTTCTTGGTCATTTCCACGATGGTTGCAGGTTTAACAAAAGAAACCACTCTGGCTCCATTTCCCGCCCTCACGAGAAATCTTGTCCCCGAATTTGGATCAGATATATAAAAATCTGATACGTGTCTCTGTAACAATAAGCAAGAAAGGAGTAGGTTAACAAGAGATGATGTTAATAAGAGATGAACCTTTCTAATGAAATATATAAAACATTTGACTTGTGTAAACTTCATTATGATATCTATTCACTCGCATACTTAACACATTGCTTTGTTCATAAAAAGAACAATAAGGAAACAAGCCATAACCAAGTGTCTGAGGGCTTAAAGGGTTCAACAAATGTGATAAAGGAAATAGGGGGGCGGGGGGGTCAAATGAAAAGTTAATACGAGTGAAACATTGTGAAAACTGACCTCTGAATGTCTCAAACCCCATGAAAATGGCCTATGCTTGGAATCTACAGGCAAGCCATCCCAACCTCGATATTCATACAACTCAGTAGATACATAGACACACCTAGAAATGTTCTGATAGGATGTTTCAAGAGGAGCAGCACCACAAGTAACCATCTGATTACAATAAGAGATCCATCAGCTTTGAAGTAAAAAAGTTGGTGCGTTACAGATACAAATTAGTGATTAAGAAACTACGGCTAAATTATCTATTTTGATAGAACAAGACCTTATCCTGATTAACTAATAGCCCAAAACAACCAAATGCTTCTTAGAAGAGATGTTCAAATATGGTATATGCAGATCTATGTATATTCACAGACAGATATACAGAACAGATATACGATCAATGTCTAGTTGAAGAATTGCAATTTTCATGATCCTATGTGTTTATTGAAGTACAGTCCTTATATACAGTCACATTTGTAGGTTGCAACCAGTAATTTTCCACCTAAAAGATGGTGCTAATAGAAAATATTTCTATAATATTACTAATTTCAATGACATGTTTGCTTTTCCCTTTCAACCTTTTTAAAGTCAAGTTGAACGTAATCTACAAGATAGGAATACTGGATAAAATTCTCATTTAGCATAGCAATCAATTAAAACAACAACATTTTAATAAAACTGGAAGCGTTTATGGTGCCTTAGATACAAAAAGTCAACATTTTAATGGCAAATTGTTGGAATCTAATACAACAAATTTATCTAGTAGTTTCTACAATCTAGTAGAATTAGAGTTTGCATACTTCTTGGGTTTGTGAGACTAGCACCACCTTTTGCACATTTGAAAAACCAGAAACTTTTAATGCCAACTCATGAGGATTAAAACAGAGTAGGCAACTGGACAGAGGAATACAGTTAATTCTTTGGCGATTTGTCTCAAGTTTCCAGGCCCTATTTAGGTGACACTGGCTTGGCTTGCTTGGATTACAATTGTTTAGAATTGAGATTAAGAAAACCATAGGCGTATATCAAGACCTATTTGGAATACATCAATTGAAATATATGATAACCCACTTGGAATACATCAATATAGACATTTTCTTGGGTTTGGAAATACAATACCATATATATATATGGCATCTTTATATACCCAGAAATATGAGGATCTCCTCATCTAGGAAGAGCATGAAGTCAAAACAACTAAATTCTATGATCCACGCCCCTATTAAATCGAAATTTCACGTCCATGATGATAAAAGTACAGTGTATAATTAGAAATAAAATACCAGGTGGCTCATCCTTCAACCTACTAGAAAAAGATAGTATCGGTTACTATGCAAAGAAATGCCCATGATTCCAATATGTTCAATGGTTTCAAAAACTACGGGTTGTTCATTTAGTGATGGTCATCAACCGCTGCGAAACTTTTTTTCAATGAGAATCTCCTCATCATAAGGTTCACTGTGGGTAACTATTGTTCCAACATCCCTTAATCACAACTTGAGAGAAATGAAGTAGATGCAAAACATCCTAATTAATATGCAAGTAGACGGTCAGTCTAATTGGTGACAGCATCGGCGACGTCGGTTTCATCTGATAACAAATCATCACATGCCACTATTGTCAAACAAAAATTCTAACTCAACATCAGCGAAGTTCCCCCACTTCAATAAATTTTTTTTTTTTTAGAAAAAACAGTAAAAAAAACGCCGACAGAATGGCAGATTACCCCAGTAACCTTCACGATCTGCCCGACCGGCAGATTCCTCGGATCGAGCCCAGAATCCGGGCGGACGCCGCTCAGAAGCCCGCGCTCTCACCTCCTCCCTTCCCCCCCCCAATTCCAGAGCCCAAACAGCCGCCAACCCCGTGCGCGCCGCCGCCGCCGCCCGCCCCGCCAATTACAGTCTGCCCGCCAACAAGCACATCACACGCAGCAGCCACTGCCGAGCACACATCTAGGAACCGAGACCCCGCCGGCCCCCGCCCAATCACAACGCCTGATTAGGGCAACCGCAAACGGGACTAAACCACCGCCCTCGATCTCTGACTCTCGGTCACCCGGACGGTCCCGTACGTCCTTCGCTGCTTCGGGTTTCGCCTGAGGGTTAGGGTTGGGGCTAGAATTAAAAGCTAGGGTTAGGGTTCTGACCGGGTGATTGAGGTCGCGGTTGGCGGGGATCTGGAAGGGGGGGCCGGGAGGAGGATGAGGAGCGCTTTGGGGAGGTGGCCGGAGTGGGAGCGGGAGGAGGAGGGGCAGGAGGGGCGGTGAGGTCCGCCGGAGCGCCGAAGGTCGCCGCGGTGTATGGGGGCGGAGAGGGAGTGGGATGATGCGGAGGGGCGGTCTCTTGGAGGCGGCTCCGGTGGGCCCGCCGGATACGAGGAGGCCGTTGCTGAGGGCTGGCGGACTGAGAGTGATGAGGGCGGCTGCTGGTGGTGGTGGTGGTGGACGCCATTGTTGAGCGCAGAGAGAGAGAGTGTGTGAGTGCGTATTTGTTTGGTGGGCTTTTTTGTTAGAGGAGTCTTGAGTTTATTCCGGTGATTTGCAGGATGAGGACAGATTTTGAATGAGATTTGCAAACTGAGTTTTCGTCAGTGGTCTCGATTTCTAATTTCCGTTGTTTGATAGGACTAAGGTGGAGTTAGGTACTAATTCTGGACTAATCATGTTTTCCAATTTCGTAACAAAGTCTTTAGCTTTTAAAAACTAAAAGCAGGGCGTATTGTTAAGAAACACTAACTTAGGGGCTGTTTGTTTCATTTCCATAAAATTATGAAATTGGATTCCCTCACAAAAAATCAAATCCAAAAAAAAAAAATTAGGATATCCAAGGAATCCAAAACTTGTGTTTGATATGGAATGATAAAGTGAAGAATAAGAAAACATATCCAAAACTCATGTTTGTTTCATTTCCCAAAAATAAGAAAAACGCCATCATAGAAAGCTTTTCAAAAGCTTTTTTGTGTTTGATTCAAAACCATATAATAGGAAATAATGCAAAAAATTATGAATAAACATACTTGTGGTGAAGTTACCCCCTAGAAGACAAACTCACCAGTACAAAGTTGGCAACGATTATAAAAACGGCTATGGGTAGCAACGAGTAGTATATAGGAGTTGCAATCCTATATAAATGTATCAGCATTAGCCCAAATACAATGCACATTTCAGCCTTTTTTGTCTTTTTCTTTTTGCAGGAAACAAAGCAGCCTTGCTACTACAGTGAAGATGGAGCTGAAATGTGATAGCAAACAATCAATTGATCTATATAAAGTGAAGTGCAAATGTAAGCTTCCAACACCCTTGAAGCTATGTGCAAATAGAAAAAATAAAGGGAGACATTATTAGAGTTGCACTAAGTTCCCAAATAAAGAATGTAACTTCTTTCACTTGCCGACAAAGAGAGTGATTGCAGGAATAGAATCAAGTATCACAGAGTCAAGACATTCTTGAAGATAAAAAGTTAATGAAAATCAAAAGATTGAAGAGAGAATTGAAATCTCCAGAGCATCAAGTAATCATTTGGAAAAGGAGTGTATTGTTTTTACTCATAATTGGTGTACTCGTCATTATCTTTAAAAACATACCATGTAGTTGCAAAATGTATTGAGATATGAAAGGAAATTTTCATGATTGTCAAACAATGGAGTATAAGGCTTAGAATAAAGTCATATTATCAGTATACGATGTCTCGCCTAAATATTGTAATTGCATATAGATTGTCTACACATAATGGTTGCCTCGTCTAAAAATTACATGAGCAATTTAGATTACAATCTCATCATGATATGTCTTATCTAAATAATAAAATCACAATATAGCCTGCATTAACAAATTTTGACCAATCATCATTGCTTAGTGCAAGAAAACCAAACTAATACACACCAAGTTTGAAAGATAGTCATACCAATACACACCAAAGTCTGTAGATTGCTATCTTTATAACTTGTCCATATCATAGATCATAGCTTCGTGTCTCATGAGAATAGATGTGAAAAAACAGCATGCATTTGCACACTAATAACCTGTACACGATAAAGATCAATCATATTGCATAAGCCTGATCATAAACAGAGCATGTAACAAGTATGAAACTGGAGCATGAAACTAGAGCAGGTAACAAGCATGAAATTGGAGCATGTAACAAGCATGAAAACCGCAAACAGAGCATGTAACAAGCATGTAACCAGCAAACAGAGCATGTAACCAGCAAATAGAGCTGAGACTGGAGCTGAAATTGGAGCACGAAGCTGGAGCATGTAACAAAGATTTACTGGAGCATGTAACAAGAGGTTAACCAGCAAACAGATCATGTAACAACTAACAAGCATGTAACCAACAAATAGAGCATGTAACCAACAAACATAGCTGAGACTTGAGCTGGAGCACAATAGAGAGCACTTGCAATAACAACAGACACAAAGAGCACTAAGTACAAAACCTGATCAAAAGCAGTTCATAACCTGATCATAAGCATATTTTTACAAAATTATGTAGCAGTTGCATCATGAAAATAAAGGCAAAGTATTGTCTCATGAAAATACAAGATCATAACATGTTCATAACTTATGTGTGTATCAGCTAGAACACCAACAACATTAACCTATTCAACAATATCAACAACAATTACTTATGACAAGTCATATTGTTTCATTATTACTATTCAAAACTTATGGGTTTTCTCAAAATAATGCAACAACAACGGACGCAGATGCACCAACATCAACAATAATAAGTCTAACTTCTTAAAGAGCTTATCAAATTGCAATTGAATAAAATCAGGTAAAATCAAATTATTATATCATAACAAATAGTGACCAGATCAAGTTCAGCCTAATTTGCCGACAATTTAAAAAATTTAAAAATTAGAGGGAGGTTGTACATTTTCTTCATTATGGAGTAGACCCCGATGATGAGAGGTAAAATTTGAACCCCTAACCCAGAGATCAAGCCATCATATTTAAAGTTTAGAACAAGGAGGGAGTGTCGACTACACCTGAATCAGAGAAGATCGCCTCCGTTCACGACGGCGACATGCATCGTGAAAAACCCCAACATCAGAAAATCAATGTCTTCTAAAACCCGAAAATAAGAAATTTCCTTTTGAAATAAATAGATAGGGTTCATCGAGGAGATAATCAAGGTTTTAATCGACCATACTAGATCAATTTGCGACCGATTTGAGTAGAACCGATTTGAGTAGAGATAGCCTTGATTTTTTCGATGAAGCAGTGCGAAGCGGATGAGGGAAAGGTAGAAGAAGAGGGAACGAGAAGATGATGCGGTGAGCGTAATGGGGGTACGGGTTCTGATGTTGTCACGTGAAGAGAAAAGGGGAGAAGGGAAAAGCTGAGTTGGCAAGCGGGTGTTGTTGGATTTAAATCTAATTAAATCTATTTGTGGGCACATATGATTAATCTGTGTGTATTGCTATTCTTCAGGATAACCCGCTAAAGTGATCAATTAATTTGGGTTAATGAGTATTTAAATAAATTATGAGGTTATATGTGCAGATACCAGTTTGTAATTATAATTTGATAAGGGGCCAAATTACAAATGTACAACACCTATATATATGGGGTTATGGTCCCTAATTTAGGGTTAGCCACACTCATTCTCTTATTCCCATCTAAAGAGATATTAAAGAGAGAAACCCTAAGATTAGAAGATCCAAAACCCAACTCAAGTCCAACCCATGGATTCAGGTATAAGCTTCCGTTCTTAATGTTTAATCGCTATGATTTAATCACGCTTAGATCAAACATGTGTCAGGTTTCTAGCCAATTTCCAAGCCAAAAGACAGGATTTAGGCTGTCCAAAAAAATATTGTTTTCTCTTTTTTTAAGAAACATTTTCTTAAAAAAAAATTGAAACAAACACAACTCCTAGAATCCTATAATGATCCAAAACCTACTTTTTGTTTCAAAAGTGATGGTTTCTTAAAATATTGACCCTAACAAACAACCCCTTAAAGTTGCACACTCAGTTTTGCAAATTTTGTTTCCTATATTTATCCTCAACTTAGCGTCTAGGTTGTATTCCAAGTGATCAGTTAAATTGGCTATAAAAAACATTTAAAAAAAACAAAACTATAAATCAAGAATATTTCGTTTATCAAAGAATTGCATGATGGATTGATCTCCATCGATGTTTCCGAAGCTCTAGATAATAAAAGTCAAAAGACTACAATATAGAGTTCTAAGGAGAACTTATAATAGTATTAAGATCTTAACAGTTAAACATATGATTAAAAAAGGCATACTGATAAAAAAAAAATATAAATAAGTAAGTAAACAATATTGATGATATGCAATGGTATAATTAGAATCTAGCTGTTTGCGTCAAAAGTTGACTTTGTCATGGAATTCATTATATCTTCAGTCGATTATAATAAATTCAAAAAAAGAGATAGCCTTTTTATAAGACTTCTTTTACACAACAAAATAAAAATTACAACTCTTGAGAAACAAACGCAGGATCGTTGTTTGGATCGCTGCTTGCGTGAGATCTTTGCCTGTGCCGGGGGTGCGTTAGCCCATGGACCACCAAATCACAGATTCTGATTGAATCGTGAGGGGTTTATGATTCCGACTTCGTTTATCGAAGTGAGATTGAAACGATATCTTATCAAGGTAAGATAGTCATTCTTCTTGAAATCAAGTCAAAGCCTGAGTATTCAAGGAGTTCAGAAGCTCGAGTACTCTGCCCTCTCTGCTCTGAAATCAGCCTGTGGATGCTCTCTGATCAGCCCCTCTCAAAAATGGCCTTCGGGGGTATTTATAACCTCTAGGAACAG